AAGTTCTAGCATCGTGGACATTGGCCTTAAGGGCTCTGTCCAGGCTTTGCACAGGTGTACAAACGCATGCACAAAGAAATTGATTGATCTATTTCCTTAAAAATGCCCCTAATAATGCCCCAACAAAGCCACGACTCTGCACACCACAATGTCCTCGGCGGTTCGCCCCTTGTAAACATTGTAACACTATCGGAAACAGCTGAAGAAACATATGTTAATATTAGCGGCACAGGAGTAACGAAAGATTAAGCAACTTACGCTGTTCATGTTGGGTGGTCCCATGCCAGGAGGCGGGCCGTAAGGGCCCGGTCCTGCGCCCATAGGGCCGTTCATCATGTGCGGTGGCGGCTGAAACAACGCAATTTGAAAGTTACAAGTCGTACGGGCGAGAATTCGTAATTGAAATAGCCGGGCGATGCGTTACCATTCCTGGAGGTCCCATCAGATTTGGAGGTCCCATGAAATTTGGAGGTCCCATAGGTCCCCAGCTGGGATCGAACGGCGGCGGCCCCCGGAACCGCGGACCCGCCGGACCGGGCGGGCAGTTCGGTCTCGGCGGAGCCTCGAACGGGAATCCATTGTTTCCGCCGCGGAACATTGGGCCGCGCGGCCCGAACCCTCGTCCACGGAACCTTGGAGAACCACCTCGCATAGGGAAATCAAACCCACCTCTGCCACGACCCCTTAAATTATTTTTATATGTTGTTGTACAAAGATGTCTTACGGTTCTACCATGCCACTTAGAGGAAGGAAGATCAGAAGTGTAGCTTTCCGAATCTTACTTGGCTCTCTATGGGGAAAAAAACAAAAACAAACGCTCCACTCCACACGCCGCGGATCTGATCCGATCTGCTCGTGCCGGGCACCGCGCGCACTCGCGCTTCCCTACAGAGGACAGAGTGTCGCTTGCGAAAAAAGAGAAAGAGAGATAGACGATAGCATTAATCAAGATCCCGCGCGAAGACGCGAACGAGCCTCCGCGCGGGCCGTCGTCGGGCCAAGAATCAAGCAAATCCGACATTCCGCGCGTGTCATCTGTCGGGACGAGGGAAACGTTGGAGGGACGGGGGGGGGAGGAGAAAGAGAGAGAGGGAATCGCCAGCGGTCCTCGAGTCGGACGAAAACATCGCGGCAGGAGGCGAGTCGAGGGAGCATGCGAGGGTGCGGGTGGAGGCAACGCGGGTCGGGAAAGGGGGTGGCGGGGGGAGGGGGGGAGAGACGCGGAGGATCGCCGACCGTGGAGCCGGGAAGCGCGTCGCGATACGCACCGGAAGCCGCCGCGGCCGCGCGGCATGAAGTGCCTGTAGTCGTCGCCCTCGTAGTTGTACTCCTCGGCCTCCTCCATGGCCTCGTCATTGTGCTCCTGCTCGCTGGCGGAGGCGGACTCGGCGGCCGCGATCGCGGCCGGCTGCTCGCTGCTCGCGTCCATTCTCCGCTGGGCGCACAAACGGGCAGCCGCGACCAGGCTCGAAGAGCGGATGGAAAACTGCGCGAGATTGATAAACTGCGGGCGGTTTACGCCGAACGGACAGACCTCGCTCACACGCCCATTCGCTATCGCTTCTGCCTCCCGTTATCAGCCCCTCTGGCAGATCGCTCTCGGCTGGCGCAGGAGAAAAAAAAACGCCGCGAACAAATTACTATTCTACGCGGAGATGCGGGGGCCGTAAACACGTCGCCGCGGACACGCGCGAATTCCCCTAAACGCGCCGGCGTGGCAAGAGGGAGCCCTGCGCGGCTCCCTAAAGGTGCTATTACATGGGATGTGTTCGAAAATGGATTTAGTTACTGCCAGTGAAAACAGTATAGTTGGTAGCAATGAAAATTACTGGTGCTGCGTTTTTCGCACGCCAGTAAAGTCAATAAGGCTGGGTCTACATTGGATGTCGTAAGTCGAATAATGAACTGTGATTGGTCAATTTCTTCCGACACGACTTACGACATCCAATGTAGACCCAGCCTTACTGACTTTACTGGCGTGCGAA